GTCGATTTGCGAGTTATAGCCCATGGATCCAGGTTTTGCGCGAGTTCGGGAATGTCAGACGCCACAGAGGCGGCGAACGTGACCCATGGTAAGCCCATCGTCGCACTGCACAAGTGGTCCCGCGTCGCGGGCTCCGTCGGCGTTTTTACAGCGTTCGAGAGCGTGTCGGCGTTTCGCTCGGGAAGCCTCGAACGCGCAGCCGTGGACTCGAAAACAGCCCCGATGGTCGTCTGGCGGTCCGGTCAGCTCGGTCTATGTACTGAGCGTCCTAAAACGACCAAGGGACGGGCAAAGCTGCCTCGGGCGACTCGATGACCCCGAATCGACTCGAAATCATCAAATCCGAGCACCTGGCGCGGCCGCGGTGGCCGCGCGCGCGCGTCGCTCGGTAACAAATAAGCTTTGGCCGACCTCCTAGGACTGATGCGCCGCGGGGCCACCGAAAACCGCACCCGAATCGGTGTCGACGCCGCCGAGAACGAGCTGCGCAGGCCGCCGCCGATGTCGAGTGGCGGCCTCCAGCCAATCAGGGCGCAAGTGAGTGGCACAGCAGCTCGATCGGCCTTGGCCTCTCGCGCTGCCTGCTGGCGGCCGCAGAATATGCTGAGACGCGCGCCAAGGATGCTCGGTAGCATGTTCAACGCCTCCCCTACAACCGCCGCGCGCCCGCTCTCGACGCGCGTGACGACGGAAATCACGGACCACGTGGCCGTCGTGACGCTGGCGCGCCCGAAGAAGATGAACGCCCTCGACATGGACATGTTCCGCGCCGTGCGCGACGCCGCGCTGGCGCTCCGCGAGAACGCGGACGTGCGCTGCGTCGTCGTCCACGGCGAGGGCCGCGCGTTCTGCGCGGGGCTCGACGTCAAGTCCGTCATGAGCCCCCTGGACGCGTCCGCGAATACGGCCGAATTACTCGAGCGAAAGGACGGCGCCGTCGCGAACCTCGCGCAGGAGGTGTCCTACCTCTGGCGCACCGTGCCCTGCCCCGTCATCGCCGCCGTCCACGGCGTCTGCATCGGCGGCGGCTTCCAGATCGCGCTGGGCGCGGACGTCCGCGTCGCCGCGGCGGAGACGAAGTTCAGTGTCATGGAGGCCAAGTGGGGCCTCATCCCGGACATGGGCGCGACGCTCGCGCTCCGCGAGCTCGTGCCCCGCGACGTCGCCATCGAGCTCACGACGACGGGCCGCATCTTCCGCGCGGAGGAGGCGAAGGCGCTCGGTCTGGTCACGCGCGTCGTCCCGGACGGCGAGCACCTCGCGAGCGCGCTGGCCACGGCGAAGCAGATCGCCGCGGGCTCGCCCGACGCCGCCGCGGCGGCGAAGCGGCT